AAAGGAATAAGGAAACAATCGAAAGAACGAGCAGGACCAACACTGCACAGTGAAGACCGAAACACGCCCAGAAAAATCGAATTGCAACAATGGGAGTTAGAGCTCTAACGAGGGGAAAACAAATAACAACTGCGTTCAGCAGTCCAGTACACAGCCCGCGACAACGCGCAAAAACAAACCAGGTAAATACAGGGTGGCAAGAAACGTTCGGTGCCGGTTTTCACGGTCTCCCAAACAACCCACACGGCCAAACGGTGAGGTTTCTAAAGAGACCCATAGAAAACAAAAAAACATTGGCCGCGCCAAGTCCGACCCAAACGAACGCCATCACGGACGCTAGACGGCCCCCGCCAGAGCAACAACCTAAAACATCCCAAAATCGGCAGAGACATGATCCATCCTCGAACCGTTGCTTAAAAGGACTTGGACAATCGGTGGAAAGGGCACGCAATTAAAAACTTGGAAAACAAAACAAAGATGCACCCGCCCGCTCGGCACCCACACCAACGTAATCGCCCACTCGCCATTTCACCGTAACTGCTCCATCCCCGGCGTCCCTAAGCTCCCGACAGTACGTAACCTCCGATGCTGCGCCATCGCCATGATGATCATGCGACCCACGATCAGCACCACTACGCCTTAGGACCCACCAAAGACGTTCCCACCAGATACTCAGTCGGGCCCCTACCGACCGAGCAGACCGATAGGCACAAGCCGGAATTGACCCATGAATACCAGACGGACCCACACAGCCTTGACAAGCCTAAAGCGGGCGGTCGCTATCGCCTGCGACGAGAACGTTCCCGCTCCCTTCTGGACATACAATAGCCCGTAGATGCGCATCCACCGTACCACAAGAGAGGCCCCCTTTGCAATCAAAAACCTGATCGGACTCGTAACATGTCTGGAGGTCGTCCACCCCCACCCTCGCTACTCAGCAAACGCTTGCCCGCTACAGCCTGCAGCCGCCCTCCCGCCACCACACCCCTCCCGGCCATTGCCAACGAAGCGACGGCATCCACAGCTGGCCCATCCCCGCCATCGCCCTCACGCGCCCGGCCTCTCACCCCCCCTATCCTCGTGTTGCCCAGGGCCATCGGGTTACATGTAAACCCAATGCAGAGGGCAACGGTCCCGCTTCGCCGCCTCCCAGAAAACCCTCGCGCTCCCCACCAGTTCCGGCATAAGTCCCCAGTTGTCAAAGTCATTTCCACGAAGCACCTCCCAGATCGCAATTCCCAACCAACCCGCTCCGGGCCCAGCAACTCAAAGCCCGGGGCCCACGGCCTCCCTTAGCCCGCACCCCCGCGGGGCTCCTATCGTGACCTGGGCCAGCGAAGTCCAGTCCAGTGGATTATGCGGATGTCGGCTCTCTGCCTGCGTCTTCAGCCATCCCCCTTCCCGTGCTTCTAGCGACCCACTCCGCAAGTCCGCGACCACGCCCGTAGCACTCGGCGCTCTGCTCCCGTCTTTCGGCCGTGGCCCGCCGCCGATAGCCGCGGCCCGACCACGTACCTACAATGTACCACTCCCCGCGACGAGCGCTATTGGCTCCCCCAAGGACGCCCCGGACTACGTCCCTCGGCGTGCTCGGCCGCCCGGCAGCCTACGGTACGGTCGACCCGGCCACGTCCCCCCCCTCGACACTCCTGACTACTCACCCCTCCCCCTATCGCACTGCGCTCGAGAGATCTCTCCCCCGCCGCGCCCCGCCCACCTTGGCTCGGGTTATGCCCACTGGCGGTCTCCCCCTCGGGTCCCCCCCCCCTCGTCCTCCCCGCTCTCCCGTACGGACTCTTCCAACGGCTGCGGCCCGCGCCAACCCTTCCTGCGGAGCTGCGCTATTCTCTCCTCCCCCCCCTGTGGCAGGCCTTCCACCCCCCCCCCCGCCGCCACCAATGGGCGTCCTCCGTCTACTCCTTGACCCTCACCCCAGTGCCCCCCCCCCCTCCGCCGCCCGTCGCCCCACCCTGCCCACTACCGCGCTCGTGCCCCTCTCGTCAACCCACACTGCCCTTGCACCTCGCTTTAATTCGTGCCGCGCCCATGCGCCTGGCCACCGCGCGGGCCGGCCCCACCGCTTATGGCCCTGCCGCGAGCCGCCCTGTCTCTTTCGCGACCCCACTACCGGCGCTAGCTGCCGCCTGCGCCCCCCTGAGCGGGAACGCACAGGGCTCGTTTCCCCATGTCCCCCCGCTCGCTTGTAGCCTTGTCCCCCATCATGGCCCTCCTGCGCCCCCCCCTCACCCACGCCCTCCTTCGACCGGCCCCCGAGCCGGTCTCCCCCCGATGAGCCTCCCTCCCCATTCGTCCCCCCCCTGCTCGCACCCTCGCGGCCATCACGCTTCCCACGGGCCGGGCGCTCTCCTCCCGTACCCCTGGCTTCGCTCTATCCCGCTCCGCCCTTCGCGTCCTCCGCCACCCCGTCCGCCCCCCCGGCCCCTCCCGTCACCCCTCCCCCCACCGCCACCCTCCCGCTGTCCCGCCCCCGCCTGCCTCAGGACCGCCTGACCCCTCGCCTCCCAACATGTGCCAGCTACCTCCCACTCCCCCCTGCTCCACATCCTCGAGGAAGCGGCTTTCTTCTCACTCGGGCTCCGTCTCCTCCGCCGTGCCTTCGCCCTCCACCCGCGCGTCGCCTCCGCGGGCCTCTACTAACCCCGGACCTGCTCTCTCCCCCGACCCTCCATCGGACCGCCGACTACCCTCCTCGCGCGCGCCCAGCCTCTCTGCCACCCACGCGCCCTGCCTCGGGTCAACCCGCGTCCCTTTCACTACTTCCCCATTCCGGCGCTCGCCTGATAGCCCTCACCGCCCCTCTTCCGCGCCTGCCCCGCCCCCCCCCCCTTAAGTCGCCTTAACGCCAGTCCCGTCCCCCCCCTCTCTTTGCCCTCCGCCCCTCGGCCTCGACCCCCTGTCTCGCCCCCGGCCCGCCCCCCCCTCTCCCCCCCCGTTCCTCCCCACTCCCGTGTGTCCGCCCCTTCACGCCTTGCTCTCTTGGGCCCCGCGTCCCTCGCTCGCCCGTCCCCCCTTCTCCGCCCCGCCACGGCACCGCGTCACCCCTCCCCCCACCCCTTCGGCCGCAACGGACCCCCCCCTCCTCCCGCCGTCCGAAGACCCCCCCCCAACTTCGCCCAGCAGTCGCTCTCCTCCCGTCTGCCCCCCCTCGTTGGGCGGGTCTTGCCGCTTCGCTGCCCTCATTGTGCAGTGGCGCCCTCGGCACACCCATAGCCGCACACCGCCCCTGCCCTCCGCTCCCCCCACGCCCCCTCACCCCCCGCCCCGCCTCCCCGGCCGCCGCTTACCCATGCACCGGCTCCGACTTCTGGCCCTCGTTCTCTTTTCCAAGTTTAGTTGAGTAATGTTTATGCACAGATGAACTGCATCTGTGAGGTCAACATGACGTAGGCCTCCGTAATGATAATGGTGAGCGATTACTTCATTTGTGTGTAGATGTTCGCCTATTTCTTGCGAGGACAAATTTCCGACACCGCACAGCCGGGGGTGACTTAAGGCCCAACTGCTCCGAAAGAGCTATGGAGGCACCCGACAACGTTACCCTTGGCCTTTTATGTGTCGGGTAACAATATAGGCGGACTCCCCCCCCCCGCCCCCCCCCCCCCCCACTCCAAAATAAGAAAAAAAAAAAAAAAAAATAAATTGCGGGTGGTCGGTTAAGTTACCGATGGTGAGGTTGCGTTTTCCCGAGAACGATCGCTCGCTTTGGTGCGCAGTAGTGGTACACCATCCATCGATCCCCCGTGCTTGCGGTTGCATGTGAGCCTGACATGCGGATGCGTTTTGGCGGATTTCCACGACCACGTTGTCATTGGTGCTTCTCGTTTCGGCTCACGTATTTGTTTCTTGTCGTTGAAGAGCGCATTAAAACCATCCTGCTAAAGAACCCAGCTATTCTGAATGCCTGTCAGGGTAGTCTGACATGCGAATTGAGTAACCGCTCACTGGATACAATTAAAGCTCATTGAGCACCCATACACCAACTCTTCTGAGCAACAGGAAAATCCTTATGTGGTAAGTTTAATAGCAAACATGGACATGGCTCTTTACAGTCTCTGGAACTTGTCGATGCTCGCAAGCATATTTCGGCTAGAAGCGAACACAAGGAAACTCACAACGAGTTCCTGGCAAACTCCGTGCTAGCCCAAAAAGAGACAACGAATCCTGGTGATGCCATCGTGCTTCAGAGATGGCTATGGCCGCTGCTCTTCGTAATCTTGTACGTTATTCCGTCGGATACGGGTAACGAGCAGCCGGAGACCTGGTGTTAGTAAAATTATACGGGATGAGAGCGGACAGCCCATCCACAACTTGGCAAAACGCTTGGAGTGTTGGGTAGAGCATTTAAAAAGGCAATTTACGTGGTCGGAATTGTTAAATTTTTCGCCGGCCATTGAACGCGTTGATCACTGGGCTGTGCCTTTGCATCCACCCTCTCGCTCAAACGTCGAAAGAGAGATCGAGCTGCTGAAGTTACATAGTGCTGCGGGATCAGATGCGCTTCCTCTAGCCCTCTTCAAATTCGGGGGGCTGCTTCTTGTGAATGATTTATACGAGTTACTAGTGAAACTGTTGGAGCAGGAAACTGTCCCAACCGACTGGAGCCGCTTCGTTGTAATCCCAGTTTTCAGTGCGGGCTTACTAACGGAATGCGGCCACCATAGAGGCATCAGTCTTAGTTCCAAAGCCGCCAAAACGCTTGCCACTGTCATCCTTTACAGAATGACTGGCACTCGTGTAAGCCATGGTCGTGAAGGAGCAGTCGGCCTTCATGGAGGTCCTAGCTGAACTGACCACATCTGTGCTTTGCGTCAGTTGTAGGAGCACCGTCACATATATTGGCGGCCCACCGTTGTCGTGTTCTTCGACATCAAAGGTGCATTCGTTTCGGTGGCTAGACGTGCACTCAGGAAAGGTGTACCTGCAAAATAGGTAAATACTAGCCTATCATTATACGCGCCTAGCTCAGGAAGAGTGAGAGCATTTAACTAGCTGTCGTCGCCCTTTAATATCTCCAGCGGCGTGAGACAAGGATGCCGGCTTTCACCTTTCCGCTTCAACTTCGTTATTGACGAAGTCATGAAAAGCGCGTTCACAGGACTCGACTCAGAAGGTGTGAATCTGCTCCCAGGAGAAGGAATGCTTGTCTTGGAGAAGGCAGGCGACATTACCCTAGGCTGTGACAACCCACAAACGTGTCAAGCGCCACTGGAAAGCTAAGCACCGGCTGTCCTTTGCTTCGGGCATTGCTTCGCACCCCTGCAGTGCAAAGCGTTCCTCCAAGCTTGGTCTGGACCGCCACCTGCGCTGACACTTGCCGGGGATCGGCTAGAAGTCGTTCAAGCATCCAACTACCCGGGAAGTTGTATCAGCGCACGTGGGATTGAAGATATGTCAACAAAACAAACAGCAAAAGCTCAAGGCGCATTTTCCAATCGCTAATATGGCGCTGCAACGACGTCACTCTCGCTCTGGAGGGTAGCGCGTAAAATGCAGCGGTACGTTCGCCCCTGCTGTAAGGGCGTGAAACCCGGTTCCATGGATCAACGGACATAAAGAGGCTAGTTACGTTTGACCACCGGTGCCTTCGCAATTCAACTCACATCTGCTGGGACCACCGTGTGAGCAACGAGCATGTTCGACGCCTTGTCTACAGCACAGGAAGAGGAGCTGAACCAGTCAGCACCGTCATTTCATGCACCAGGCTCCGATTGCTCGGCCACTTGTTGCGTACATTAGCCTACCAACTCCACCGATGTGCGTTGTTTGCGCGCCGGTGGGTGGGGCTTGTAGAAGAGGAGGGTGGCCAAGCGATGCATTGGTTGAGAAGACTGAAGGATCCCTATGCAAACCTGGCCTCGGTTGGAGAGTCTCGGCGCCATGGTTGGGGTCCAAAGACGATGAACACGTTTGGCTAGATACATCTGCTGATATGGCTAAGAGCTGACCTCATTGGCGTTCGAGCTGTGAGCTTTTTGTCCTACCCGATCCCTCTTAGCCTCCCCTCCAACCACGCTCTCACTATTTAGCCTTATATTATGTTGCAAAGTAAATTATATTGTCTGCTGCTTGGTAGACGGCTAGTAGCTTACCGTTAGCTCAGCTGGTTTGCAATTGTAGCGCTTCATTCGCTTCCTTTTGTTTACGTATAACAGCACGGTAGCTGAGGTGTTTCGCACCTCTAGCTAACGAGCAAAAATATGATAATGCTGTGTCCTAAGCAAATTGCTCCGGCAGGAGTGGATTTTGAGAACGCCGTGATGCAATATACAGAGAAAACCAAATGTCTGCAACTAAATGATGAAATATTTTATTCTTGAAATTATCAAGACACCAACTCAGGCATGATCAACATTTACAGTCAAGTATGTTTAGCAACAAACACGTTGCTATATATGTAATCGGCAGTAAACCGAAAGTAGTACAGGCTGCGGAAATCGTTTAAGCAAGCAGGAGGAATAAAGTCGTCAATGAATGACGATACGTTGGGTTCAAGCTTGCGTAGTGCAAACAGTCAGGGCACTATGGGTGTAGTAAAGGCGTTAAATATAGACAACGAGTATCTTAGCCTTGTACGTGTCAAGGAAATATTGAAGTATGCTTCTAGTCGACTTGCCAGTATGGAGTTGTGGGCCGTAAATTTATTCAGTGGCCAGCAACATTCGCCACGTCGTAATGATATTAACCGGACGTTTGTGGACTTTTAATGGAAAACGCTTGCCAGGCAGAGACCCACCACATCCTGGAACACTGTCGTAAACCCGTTTGTACATTAATGTGCAACTAACAAAGCAGCGTGACGACTGTTTTCACACTTGGTTATTCGCAGTCAACTGGCTTCTAATTTCCTCCGTCAGTTAATCAGTTAGCTTACTCAGGGCGTCATAACCACTGAGGCCAAACGAGGATGGGAGAGGCAGGTAGAGCCGTCGTCGTGAGTGTCAAGGTAAGCAATACATCAGTTACTTGTGTCTATATTTTCAGCTTATGGATACTTTTCAGGTGTGTGAAGGCACGGTGTGCAGGTAGCATTACTGGGCAACGTTCAAGGCAGAGAGTGCAGTTGTATCCAGTTGATGTACAGCCATGTACTTTGTAGATCCTTGTGGGCTATTATATCCTGTTCCGGGCGAAGACAGCTTCTCCGTTCAATCCTAGCTTAACAACATGTTCCGTACCTCAGAGGAAAGGGAAAGTGACGGAAAATCTAGAACGCAAAGAACAGGCGTAGAAACAAAGATTGTTAAAATCTTATGTTATAAAATTCAGAGTGCAGACAAACGGAGGTACAATGTGCAACTATGATTGTGCTGAAAGTGTCTTCTAAACGTTCTACGAAAAGCAATGGCCGTATAGGTAGATTGCTACGATCTACATGGAGTATAGAGCGTTGCGCCATTAAGCAAACTACGCAGTATCGGTTTGCTAGGATGCAACTATTGTGTGGGAATTGAGAAAGCAGAGTTTAAAGACTGGTTGCGCTTGAATGGTGGATAGACAGCCGGTAGCCAGCCTATTTCGATAGGGAGCGCGGAATATGTAAGTAGAGATATAAACCGCTTGCGACGAGAGAGCTTTAATGGTCAATTGATGGTAAAGCAGCGGAGATCTAGGACCGAAAAGTGAAGTAAAATTGTTCGGGGGATTTAGACAAAAAACGACACGAGGGTACCAAGAGAATATTGCTATGGCCGACTGAGCTGGTAAAAGCCAGCGAAAGAGCTGGCCTCCTACATGGGCAAGTAGCGAAACCTTTGCTGCGAGACGGAAACAGAACGCCTACGAAGGAGTGGTTGAGGAGCGGATGTACTGAGCAGATGAGAAAGGATTGTTCAATAAAAGTGGAGTAGTGAAGCTCACTTAAACAAAGGCAACCGTGCGGAACAAATGTATACTCAGCGCTGCGCAGAAAAACGAGTCATTTAGGGTGCAATGGTATGGTACTTAAATAAATAAATAACCTTTTATTCTCGATAAATCGAGACACGCCTTTTGGGCATGATCAGCATAGTGCAGTATTGTACATGATAGCAGAATATGCGGCACTAACCGCGGGAGTAGAACAGTTGGAGACAGTAGTGTGGGTCCATATAACCCAAAGGTTGTATGAAGTCTAGGTACACAGAATGCGAGTGTTAGAGACAATAATGTGATGACTAATACGGTATGTTGAGGAGGAACTAGTCCGATGAGTTCCCGTGCGCAGTGTGG